ATGCAGAATTTACCAAGCAACCTTCCAAAAATCATTTACATAACTCTTAGACTCTCACCCACACTGAAGATACTAAAGGGTCAAGAGTAGGAAATTTCTGGAGAATTCTGGAAGATTTATTTATAGAGGGCCTATACTGTGAATCCTTCTACTCCCATCAAGGGGAAAGACTTGGGAAGGGGCTACATTCTATCCCAAGTCAAGAGAAAGAAGGACTTTAGTATCGCATATACAACTTAAAACATGGTGCCTACAGTTTGGGTAACTGGTGTTTTGGTGACTAAGTCATGCCTGTGAAATCCAAAGGGTGAGGGGCTGACTAAAGCAGCTGCCGGTATCAGAGTAGAGAGTTGTGGTTTGAAGGGTAATTGCATTCCAGAGTTTGTTGAAGCCAAAATCAATGAATGTATGACCATGGAGAAGAAAAGAAAAAGAATCAGTGTCTTAGATCCTATGCAAGAGGATCTTCTGGGGAGGTTGGGAGTACCATGACTGTGTAAGGCTTTGATAAGTGTAGTAAGCAACCAGCTGAATAGTTACATCTCATGCTTATGGATGGGAGGGCAGGTAAGAGTGTCCTTCCTCGTGTGTGTGTGTGTGTGTGTGTGTGTGTGTTGGGGGCATCAACCTATTTTATTGACAGGACAGAGAGGCTCTGACAAAAAAGAGTTTATTTGATAGTGACAGGGGATTGCCATCTAGTATATGCAAGCCATGATGATCTTGGTATATCTGGATAAATTAATGTAAAGGGAAACTTTTAAAAGACAAAGAAGAGGTTCACATAGGCTATTCTGAAACAAAAATCATTAGTCACAGGGGCTTGTGGCAGGAGCTGGTGTTCACTTATTGGTGGAGACAGCCATTGCTAGGCAAGTCTTGTAAGAGCAGCTTATCTGGAATGCCACGATATTGCAGAATTTCTTGTGGTAGCCCTGCTACAGACTTGGGTTGAACAGCAGGATGTGCAGGACATGCAGGATGTTCAGGGATTTGTGGGTTTTTAGAAGGTCCTTGTGTTCTTATCTCGGAAATATGTGTGTGAGATCCCCTCCTTCATGACCTCCCCAGCTCCACTTTGCTTGGGCCTGGTGTAAGTGACTTCACCTTGGCATCAACGACTTTGACAGGGGAAGGGGTAACCAAGGAACCACAAAAGCCACCATAAAGAGAAAGAAGCAGCAGCTTCAAACAGCTGTCAAATCCAGAGAAGGTCAAAGCTCTAGAATAGGATCAGTCATGGAAGAACTTTCCTGCTTCTCCATCCCCTCTACTTCCACCTTGGAAGGATCCAAACCTACATAAGCATGACCAGGAGAGAAAAAGAAGTATCCGGCCGTTTCATCTTCTCTTCAACGGTGGGATTTCTCATTCCTGCAGAGCCCACTAAGGGTCCAGAGCTTTATTACATGGGAGTGGAACATCTTCATTACTGAATTGAGGCCAGGTGCGGTGGTTCACACCTGTAATCCCAGCACTTTGGGAGGCTGAGGTGGGCCGATCACAAGGTCAGGAGTTCGAAACCAGCCTGGACAACATGGTGAAACCCCGTCTCTACTAAAAATACAAAAATTAGCCAGGCGTAGTGGCAGGTGCCTGTAATCCCAGCTACTCAGGAGACTGAGGCAGGAGAATCGCTTGAACCCGGGAGGCGGAGGTTGCAGTGAGCCAAGATTGTGCCACTGCACTCCAGCCTGGGCGACAGTGCGAGACTCCATCTCAAAAACAAACAAACAAACAAACAAAAATTACTGAACGGGTACTGTGTTTTTTAACTTAAAGTGACTGGAAGAATCCATGGTGTCTACTTGAGTTTTAATTTAGGGACAAGGGTGGAACTAGCCCCATTGATACGTTTAAAGGGATAAGAGAATTCTTGACAGCACGACGTCTAATGCTGGCACATAAGACCTTAGGAAATGGTCCACCCTCCTCGGGGCAGTGAGGAATAGCTTTGCTGAGGTTAATAATGTGAGGATGGAGAAAGCAATAGATGAACAAGAGTCAGATCTTGGTCATGACACAGCTCCACTCCTTACCACAGCCAAAGTCTCTTCAGTGAGCATTGTTCCTTCATCTACAAAATGAAGGAGTTCAACTAGACAGCCAGTGGGATGCCTTCCCTATTTAAACTCTCGTGTGAGTCTAGGGATGGCAAGGTGGAGAGGGGTTGGGTGAGTAGCCCCTTTCCTGGAGATTATTTAAACCACAGATGGTTTAAACCAGAGAAGAACTGGAGAACCCACTGCATTTCAAAAATATTTCCTTGATCTCCTGGCAGCTTTGGGTAATTTGGGTAAGTGCTTCTGGCTGGAGGCACAGCTCAGGCTTTGTGGGGAAGATGAATTTAATGGTGAAACAACAGTTGTGGCAATAGATGCTGTTTCTGGAGCCTCTGAATCTTCTAGTATCTGCATTATGATTTTGGAATAAAAGATGATTCATTTCGAATCTGGAAGTCAGCTAAATGAGCAGGACTCTGAAACAGCATAAATGACATTTCTCCCTGCCAGGAGCTCAAAGCAGGGAGGCTGAGCTTCTCCGTAGATATTTGCCTGTGCTTCATCTTACAAAAGACCCAGGAACTCTCTCAGGAGTTCAGCCTTGCTGTCACAGGTGCTGGCTAAGGGAAGCCAGCTTTGGCTACTGCTGAGGTTGTGGAGAAATCTATCTGTGTTTGTGCTAACAGTATTATTAAAAGCCCAGAGGTTAGGAGATGTTTCTGTGAATGTTATCTGCACTCTATCTATCTGTGAACCAGTGCCGAAGGGCAGGTGATTCCCAAACATTACCTGTACACAGCTTACTTACCCTTAGGTTTCCTTTTGGCTAAAACTCAGTTTCATTCATCTCTATGCATCTTTGCATAGTGACATGCACTGCTGTAGTGCTGTCTCAGAGAGGCAGCCCCATGGGCCTCTTCCCTCCTAGCATTTGCCAAATTTTCCAAATAATGACATTGTGATTGTGTGATTATCTGTCTCCTCCACTAGATGGGAAGCTTCCTGTAGGCAAGAATTAGCTCATTCCCAAACATAGCATAGTGTTGGAAGGCACAGTGGTGGTGAATAAATACATAGGTGGATGATGAATTAACTGATTTATGTAGCAAAGGGATGCTGGCTGCACACCTTCTTGTTGGATGGCAGGGAACAAGAAGAAAGGTTGAGTTCACCCAAGTGCTGACCAAGCTTTGAGAACTTCCTTTCCATAGCAGATAAAAGGAGTCTGCAATTGTGGAGGTCTAGAGTACACTTTTCATCTCCCTTCACCCTGAGTTTTGTCTTTGGCAGAATCCCTGGGGATTTTTGAATCTGCAGCTTTTCTCTGCACTGGGGTTCCTGCAGTGTGAACACCATCCAGTGGCCTACACCATCCAGGTCTTGAGTGTGAGCCCCTGGCAGCCCTCTTGAAATGGAATTCTCTCCACCCTGCATCCTGTTCCCCATGGCTTGCTGAAGTCCTTGCCCTGGGACCCAAGGAGAGCTGAGGATGGGGGTGTGTGTGTGTGTGTGACCAAGGAGAAAGCTGCTCCCACTGCCGTGACCCTGCTTTCTCTGAGAATCAGAGGACTTGCAGGGAACCCAGACTTTCCCAGGGCCAAGTTTTCCGTTGGCCATGCAGTAACCCAGGCTTTCCCACAATCATCTCCTGAGAGTCAGCTCCTGGGAGTCAGCCCACTCTCCTGGCACCAAGGGTGTTTGTTCACCCTTGACTTTGCAAAGATCCCTGTCCCCTCCTCTTCCTATCTCTCCACCCCCAAGCCACTGTGAAATCCTAGTGTACTTTAAGGCTCTCCCAGTATTGACACCACTATCAGCCAAGTCACTTTCCATGACCCAGGGCTGTATTAGGAAAGGGCCACAATACCAAGAGACAGACACTGTGGGTTCTTGTCCTGGCCCTCCCATTTGCTACTTGCTGGACCACATGCACTCACATTACTTCTTTAGGTCTCTGTTTCCTCATCTGTACAATGGGTTTATGTACCTTCCTGCCAGCCCACAGAGCTGTGGTGAAGGTCACATGAGGAGGTGCATGAGAAATTGCTTGTCTAGTAGTAGGGGACGCACCACGGTGAGGTAAGTTGATGTGTTAATATAACAATGAAGGCCAGGCCTAAGGAAAGGGGAAGCAAGACACATTTGTCGTGGCGTTTCTTACTCCCTTACTCCCTCACTTTTGGTCATTTGTGTAGCATTCCCCATAAAGGCCATCTAATCTCCCCACCCCCAGAAGAAGAGTTGGGCACATAAGTTGCTTGACCACATTCATGCACATTCATTCAATGTACTACTTCCTAGGGTATTTTAATTTTAAAATAGATGAAAGCAGGAAGCCCCCCAAAAAGAACGTATAATACAGAAAAACAGGGACCATGAGACTTCCGTGAGTGGGAATATGTGAGGGCAGGGCCAGGGAGCATGCCCGTGCATTGCCCAGGCCACTCCATGGGTCAGCTTGACTCCCTCGTCAAGGGCGTCAGTGCTCTTGGGGGCCGCACTCTTGAGTCTCAGCCCCCACGCCAAGGCCTCATTTTCATGCTGCCTGAGTAGGGCTGCTGAGACGTTTGGTGGAACTCGGAACTACCAGTGAGTGGGTCGTGCAGGGATTCTGCCTGTGTCCTCCACATGCCTTACCAGGGGAGGAAGAGGCACAAACAAAGAGTTAACAGCACAGAGGCCTTTACTGGAATGCTGTCAGCCCTCTCCAGGCCTCCAAGACTGCCCCAAGTGAAGAAGTGACTTCCCTACAGTGTGGCAGAGACAGTGGTGTCTCAGCCCCTCTCCGTCCCTGTGTGTCGCTAGCTGGCACGGCCCAAGCCTCTTCTCCCCATTTTGACTCTTTTAAAGAGAGCCAAAGCGTCTCTACTTCCAAACACCCGCACAGGCTGGAGTCACTGGGAGCTGCCTGGGGCCGAGCTCTGTGTCCCAGAGATGGGAATATGACCTTGGAGCATCACAAAACCTGGAAAAAAATGCAGCCAGCCTTCCTCAAAGAAGTTGGATTTCCAAACCTTGTCTCAGGACTTTATTGGATCTTTCAAAACAAGGAGACCAATGAGTGTGTTTTTTCTCCAGCACATGAGTTCACCCTGGACTTGAATCCCAACCCAGGGGAGTCTGGACCACAGGGCCCTGCACCTGCATGCTGGCTACGCCCTGCCTCGGGAGAAGGCCAGCGAGCGCTGCCCTCTGTTGGCGTTGTGGAACTCTTCGAGCATCTGCTCCCTGGCAATGTGGCCATTGCGCTCCACCCAGAAGGCCCTCTCCTCTTCCCAGAGGGCATTCTTTTCCTCCCAGAGGGACGTTTTATCCTCCCACAGGGCTTTCTCCTCCTCAAGGAGGGCTCTTTCCTCTACCCACAGGGCCTTTTCTTCCTCCCACAGGGCCTTGTCCTCCTGAAGAAGGTTCCAGTCTTTTTCCCATAAGGCATTGTCCTCTTTCCAGAAGGCCTTGTCGTCCTTCCAGAAAATGCGGTACTTTTTCCAAAAAGTTTTCTCTTCCTCCCTGAAAGACTTTTCCATTTCCCAGAAGGATTTTTCCTCTTTCCAGAAGCTTTTCTCCTCTTCCCAGAAAGGTCTCTCCTCTTCCCAAAAACCCAGGATCTGGCCCCAGAAAGCATGGATTTTGCCTCGGAAAGTCCACATTTCTTCCCTGAAGCCCTCTATTTTCTCACGAAAAATTTTCATCTCTTCGCGAAAAGCCTTTTCCTCCTGCAGCTTGTGCATTAGTTTCTTCTGGCGAATACTGGGAGAGGATGTCACCAGGGACCGGAAGCAGGCAAGCCCCATCCATCTGCTCACCTTGAAGGAAAACATCTTCCTTAACAGTCGGAATGGTGGGGTGGCCATGATGACAGGACCGTTAGCCAGGTCCAGATCGGCTGGTCAGACCCTGTAGGGGGAGCAGAGAAGAGAGGTCTGTGAGTATCACATGCCAAGGGATGGCCCTTGGTTCTGTAGTACTGGATTTGAGAAAATGTAATCACTGTTCTTTGTCCCCATGGTGGTGTTTGTGAGGGACAAGCTTTGGTCAAGAAACATGTGGGGTGGTCATGGCTTTGGGCTGGAGAGGCAGTCAGTACATTCAAGCTCAAGGCTGCTAAAAACATAGATGCTCAGCCAAGAAGGACAGTGGCTCTCAGCTGGGGTATCAGAACACACAGGTGTGACATGACGAGGCCAAGAAGAATTTATATTTGTTCAGTCAACCCGAGTGAATTTAGGTTTTGGTATACTCACTTGGGAATTGTTCCTGTCTGCCTATGGTCATGCTCACATGTGAATGTCCTCTATTACGAGCCTGGGACACAGAAGATAGGCCCCCTGACCTCAGAGAGGAGGAGGACAGTGTATATTAGGAGAGGAGTTTATTTTGGGAAAAGTGGTTTAAAACAAAAAGGTGAGAGACAATGGTGAATGTTGCCAGGATCATGGAACAAGAAGACCCTCACGCAATATTGAGTAATATGGAACAATAAGAAAGACACCAGATGACCCAGCAACTCCAGTCCCAGATATAAACCCTGAGGAAACTTGGGAACTGTGACTAGGATACATGTACAAGTGTGTTCGAGGAGCTTTGCTCATAAGAGCTCAACTCTGGAAACAATCCAGTGACCATCCCAATAGAGTGGAATAAAAAATGGCGGTATATCCACATGACAGACAGCATGGCTGCCTACAACAGCATGGGTGAATCTTATAAACACTCTGCTGAAAGAGAGAAGCAGGATCAGGGAATTTCAAAGAATGAAGTTCCAAACAAGCAGGACTAAATGCCACGGTCTAGGGGAACATACTTCAGTGTTAACACAGAAAGAAAAGCAAGGAAGTGAGTCCCAAAGTCAGAGTAATAGTTGCTGGTGTGGGAGGATTTGGGGTGTGGGATGAGGAGGTGAGACTAAGGATTGTGATTAAGTGAGTACTTGAGAGGGGCTTCTGCAGTGCTAGCAGCATTCTGTTTCTTTGCTTGGTGGCGGTTTCATGTGTGTTGTTATAAAAACGTGTTAAGCGGTACATGGATATTCTATGTACCCCAGTCAATACAGTGTATTTCACAATAAAATAAAAGCTGGGGAGAAGAAAAAAGGAAAAGAAAAAAAGAAAAGAAAAAGAAAGACAGGGAGGGAGGGAAGGAGAAAGATCTTCAAACATTGCCATATATCCGAGGAATCAGATAGCAGAACTATCCGTAACAATCCCTGTAACTACAAACATGAATCAAGGGATGAGAAAAAGCACTGGACATAGGAAGGTGGTTAGGGAGCAGTAAAGAGCTGTGTTGTCAGATAAGTGGTGCATGCACATGCTGAGAGCATTGTTTTCCATTTTGTGCTTTCTTGAGGAAGTTGCCAGGTTCTGGCCCTCACTCAGTGGACCTCACTGATCCGTCATTCATGAGACCTTTTGGGGAAATTTTCAGGGCTTTCTCTGTGTTTTTCCATTTCTGGTTTAGGAACAGGGAGTAGAGGAGGAGAAAGGACACAACTGGGGGTGTGTGTGTGTGCACGCGCGCAACCATATGAAGAGACAGTGGCTAGGCTGTGGACAGCTGGTGGCATCACCATCCGTCAAGTCACACAAACCAGAACCAGGGGCACATCCTTGACCTTTCCCTCTCCCTCACCAGACTTCTCTCCTCAACCATCAAGCCCGCCTAGCTGAGATCCTTAACATTTCTTGAAACCATGCCCCGTTCCATCTCCCCAACCACAGCCGGGTCAGGCCAGGATGCCTGAAATAGCCTCGCTGCTCTCTGTATTGATCTTACCCTTTTATCTGCCCCTGCACTGTAGCCCTACAGGTGTTTTCTAAAACACTTTCTCGTCCTATCACCTCAGTTCACACACCTTCAAGGACCTTGTAGCCCAACCATCAAAGCTGAATGCCCTAGGAAGGCCCTGTGCAGCCCAACTCCAGCTTGCTTCTCCCTGTCCTTCCTACCCAGCCTGCACCCAACTCCAAATCTAAGGCCCAGTATGAATGAGCTCTATTCAGCTCTTGGCACCCTGCCTCCAGTTTCCTGCCTGGATGCTGAAGCACATGCCGCATCCTCTACTGAGAGCCCCTTTTCCTCCTACGGGGGGCTTGAATTCCTGTTCATCCCTTCCCCTCTGAAAGCCACTCGGACCCTCCAGACAAAGTTCCTCGCCACCTCCGCGATGCTATCTGTCTGTTACTCCACTGTTACTTGTCAGACTTGATTGAAATTAGGTGTAGACATGTCTTCCTGACATCTCTGTAACCCAGGAGCTATTATAATATAAAGCCGTCTATATAGGAGGGAACTGGTGAAAATGTTGGTTGAATTGAACTGAATTTAACTGCATTTTGGAAATTTGATTTTCTATGTTGTATGGCTCTTTGCCTGGAATCTGTCCAATATGGGAGGTCCTCCCTCACTTCCATGTCTTGCTGGCCCGCTCTCCCTGGATAGCCTTGCTCAAGCTCCCTTCAGTTCACCTAGCGAATCCTTCAGCACTCAGATACCTCCTCCAGGCAGTCTCTCCTAAGCTCAGACTGAGCATGTGCACTTTCTGTCCCACTAGAAACACCTCATCTTCCATCTCTATGTCTGGCATCCCGCGAAACGTCCTGCCACAGGATAGGTGTTCAGAAAATAGCAGCTGGATGAATGGGCGTCTACTGGGTTAGGATGTTGGAAAAAACTCACCTCCAAGTTTTTCTCAAGTGAACACTGAACTTTCTTTAAGAAAGAAAGAAAACAAGAACCACATCAAATATGTAGATGTGTGTTAAGATATAAGGTACAACATAAAACTGTAGATATGTATCTGTACAGCTATAAAAATGCACATTAAAGAAACATGCCTAGTTTTCAGTTATACTGTAAGACTAGGAACTTCTTTTTAAGGAAAATATTATATATTACCTTATGCTTAGAACAAATACTATATAATCTAAAGCCAGCAGTTACTTACTGCTTAGCTGCTTCCCAACGGGATAGGTCCTGTAGCCCTCAGAGGGTACATGCGGCCATTGTCATGTGAGATCCCCGATGACGCTGCTTGCAGGCCTGCCCCAACAATGCTGGCTGTGACCTATCTGTGCCCTTTCAGACCTGACTCACAGGATGGTGACTCTAAGAAGGAGTCCCCTATAAAAGACTTTAAGGAAAGGAGGGGGCACTTGAAAGGTCTGAAAGAGTTCCTTTTCCGTCTTTGACTTCCCTGATAGGGCAGTGCTGTTGATGACTCACAAGTGATTGTTACCTCAGATTCTGTCGGCATTGGTTCCAGGAGCATGGTTCTAGGAAGTCATGGTCTGGTGAGGGCTTTGTGTGGGTTGAATCACTTCTCTTGCTGCTTTCCAGATTCTTTGTCTTTGGCTTTTGATAGTTTGACTAGGATGTGTCTTGGTCTTGAGGTTTATTCTACTTGGAGATTGTTAAGCTTCTTGGATATGCAGATTTGATACAGTTTTTCATCAAATTTCAGAAGTTTTTGGCCACTATTTCTTCAAATGTTCTTTCTTCCATTTTCTCTGTCTCCTCTCCTTCTAGGGCTCCTATTATGTGAATACTGGTAGCGTGAGGGTGTCCCCCAGGTCTCTAAAGTTATATTCATTTTTCTTCATTCTTTTTTCTTTCTGTTGCTTAGATTAGATAATCTCAATTAACCTGTTTACAAGCTTGTGGATTTTTTCTTCTGTCAGTTCAAATATGCTGTTGAACTCCTCTTTAATTTTTCATTTTCAACTCCAGAATTTTTGTCACATAGTAAAATTTTTAAATAGTCAAATAAATTAACATATCCATATCTCATAACTACCCTTTTTTGTGCACTGTAGCAAAAGCACCCAAAATCTACTCTCTCAGCAAAAATCCTGAATACAATGTTATTAACTATAGTCCTCATGTTGTAGCTTAGATCTCTAAATTATTTATCCTATATATCTGCAACTTTGTACCCTTTGATCTCCTTCTTCCTGTCCCCTCCCCACACCGAGCAACCACCATTTTATTCTTTGTCTATGTATTTGACTTTTTTCTTTCTTTTCTTCTTTTTTTTTTTTGAGACGGAGTCTCGCTCTGTTGCCCAGGCTGGAGTGCAGTGGCGTGATCTCGGCTCACTGCAAGCTCTGCCTCCTGGGTTCGCGCCCTTCTCCTGCCTCAGCCTCCTGAGTAGCTGGGACTACAGGCGCCCACCACCACGCCTGGCATTTTTTTGTATTTTTAGTAGAGACGGGGTTTCACCATGTTAGCCAGGATGGTCTCGATCTGCTGACCTCGTGATCCGCCTGCCTCGGCCTCCCAAAGTGCTGGGATTACAGGCGTGAGCCACCGCACCCGGCCTCTTTTTTTTTTTTTTTTTTTAAGATTTTACATATAAGCGAAATTGTGCAGCATTTTTCTTTCTGTGTCTGGCTTATTTCACTTAGCATAATGTTCTCCAGGTTCATCTATCTTGTGACAAATGACAGGATTCTTTTTTTATGACTGAATAATATTCTACTTTATATACATGCTACAATTTCTTTATCCATTCATCCGTCCGTGGACCCCTAGTCCATCCAGAATTTCTCCAGAAGTTTTCACTGTGTCTCCAGAATTTCTGTTTGGTTATATAAAGAAAAGGATAGATGTACTTTTATATACACACACGCACACTCTTTTCTATAATATATACTTTTCTATATATCTATATAAAAGTATATGTATATAAAGTGTGTGTATATATACACACACACACTATATATATATAATATATATATACACACAAACACACACTTTTCTGTCTCTTTTTGGTAAGGCATAGTTTTTAAATCTTTAATGCTTTTTTTTTTTTTTTTTTTTTTGAGACATCATCTCTGTCAGGCTGGAGTGCAGTGGCATGATCTTGGCTAACTGCAGCCTCAACCTCCTGGACTCGAGGGGTCTTCCCACTTCAGCCTCTCAAGTAGCTGGGACTACAGGCGTGTGTCACCAGACCTAGCTAATTTTTTGTATTTTCTGTAGAGATGGGGTTTCTCCATGTTGCCCAGGCTCATCTCAAACTTCTGGGCTCAAGTGATCTACCCACTTCGGCCTCCCGAAGTGCTGGGATTATAGGTATGAGCCACCACACCTGGCCTTGTTTTTCTTTAATTCTTTAGGAATGGTTTCTTTTAGTTCTTTAACTACATTTGTAATAGCTGACTAAAAATCTTGGTTTAATCACTCAGTGTCTGCAATTCCTTAGAGACAGTTTATAACCAAAAAGACAATTACTCAGAGAATAACAGTTTCAGGCCAGGCATGGTGGCTCATGCTTGTAATCCTAGCAATTTGGGAGGCTGAGGAGGGAGGATGGCTTGAGCGTAGGAGTTTGAGACCAGCCTGACAACATAACAAGACCCTGTCTCTACAAAACCAAAATAAATTAGTCAGTTGTGGTGGTGCATGCCTGAAGTCCCTGCTACTTGGAAGGCTGAGGAAGGAAGGATCATTTGAGTGCAGGAGGCTGAGGCTGAGTGAGCTTTGATTGTGCCACTGTACTCCAGCCTGGGCGACAGAGTGAGACCCTGTCTCAAAAACATACATAAATAAATAAAATAACAGTTTCTATTGGCTGCTTTTCTCCCTTTATATATAACTCTGTTTGCAATAAAGGGTTTTTTGTTTCTTTGTATGCCTCAAAAATTTTTGTTGAAGTTGGACACTTCATATAATATAGTAACTAAAAATGAGATTCCCACTCCCAAGTTGTGTTGTTGACATTTATTGTTGTTGCTGTTGCTATTTGTTCATTTAGCGAACAAATTTAGCAAAAAATAATTTGTTCATTTCTTGGACAAATTCTATTAAGTCTATATTTTTTGTCATGTGTGGGCACTAAAGTCTGCTTATTAACGATCAGCTAAGACTGGACAGAGATCTCCATGAACGGATGTCTCCTTTCCTTTGCTGAGGGTGTGTGTGTGTGTGTGTGCACGCATGTGTGTGTGGTTGGGGGTGCGGGGGTGCAGGTTGGGCATACCTTTAGTGATCATGCAGGCAGTTTACGATTCTG